ACTGGTGACTTCATGCCAATCTGACGTCTCACCTCTCACAAACTCTCTGCTTTCTATCGATTAGGTACTCCCTTATTCACTGGAGCGCCCTACCAGTTACTCCTGCCTGTTTCTCCATTATGCATCAGCGTTGTACGGGGTACTGTGTCAAAGGCTTTCCGACAATCCTAAAAATTGCAGTCCGCCCATCCTTGTCTTTCTTGCTTAATTTTTGTCACCTGATCGTAGAATTCTATTAAGCCTGTAAGGCAAGATTTACCCTCCCTGAACCCATTGTTGATGGGTTGTCACGAAGTCCCTTCTCTCCAGATGTGTTACTAGGTGTTTTCTCACGATCTTCTCCATCACCTTGCATGGTATACAAGTTAAGGATACTGGCCTGTAGTTCACTGCCTCTTGTCTGTCACCCTTTTTGTATATTGGGACTACATTAGCAGTCTTCCATATTTCTGGTAGGTCTCCCATTTCCAGTGACCTACTATACACTATGGAGAGTGGCAAGCAGAGCGCTCCTACACACTCTTTCAATACCCATGGTGAGATTCTATCCGGGCCAACAGCCTTTCTCACGTCCAGATCCAACAGGTGCCTCTTGACCTCATCTCTAGTAATATCGACTCTGGGGGTTTACATCTCATTACAATTTTATATTCATATATTGTGTGTTCATGAGGCTTTTCTTTAATCTTTCATCCTTATTCTCTGACCGCTTAATCCTCTTTGACCATTCTAAGCTAAGCTATACCTGTTTCTGGTTAATTCTTTCCCTAGAGATGGGTTGGTCAGTTTCCAGGTGTTGGCCTGTATTCTCTCTCTCTAGTCAGTCTGGTGTTGACAAAGGCTTTAACGCTGAAACGTTCATTTCCTTTCACATTTCTCTGTGGATTTTCCACATAAAAATGATCAGTGTTTTGCTATTGTCAATTGCATGCATTATTTATATATATATATATATATATATATATATATATATATATATATATATATATATATATATATATATATATATATATATATAATATATATAAAATCAATAAATGTATGTGTTGTACCTAGTAGCCAGAATGCAGTTTTTGGCCTAATATGCAAGGCCCGATTTGTCTAATAAGCCAAGTTTTCCAGAATTTCAATATTTTTCTAATTTTTTTCTTATGAAATGCTAAAGCTATTCATTTCATTATGTATGAGGTATTTTTTTTTAAATTTGAGTTAAAACTAACGTAGATTACCCTGTTACCTAGCAGTAAAATAGGTACCTGGGTGTTAGTCAGCTGTCACGGGCTGCTTCCTGGGGGTGGAGGCCTGGTCGAGGACCGGGCCGCGGGGACAATAAAACCCCGAAATCATCTCAAGATAACCCTACCTAACCTAACCTAAACTAACATAACAAAATCAATAATTTATGTTCTAAATATAATATAATAATAATAATAAAAATAAACCAACAGGAAACAATTTATTGAAAATAAAGAAAATCACTCGACCTATTAGGCAAATCGGGCCTTGCATAGTAGGCCAAGAAGTGCATTCTGGCTACTAGGTACAACACACACACACACACATACATACATATATAGATTAGTTAGTTATATATAGTAAACTTAGTAAAACACGGTTCAGGATTGAGGAAGTGATCTCGGACTCCATGTGTTGTACTGTAGTTTGAGAAAGTTATTGAAGTTTTTGCTGCCATGGTGTTTAGCTTGTTACATTCTTCGAATAGGTAAGTTCTGCATTAAATTTTGGGGAGTATCAAAATTTTGATCAAGCTCCTTTACTATTTTACCATGCTTAGTAGTACAGCAATTGAGAAGTTATTTTAAGGATTTTGTAATTAGGAGATTTGTCACTTGAACTACCAGCTGTTTTTGTTTTTTACTTTAATCGATGAATAATGTACCCTTTTTAACATTTACAGGAATCGAGCTTTGATATGGATTTAGATGAAGGAAGCCCCCTGCCAGCGCCAGCGCTAGCACACCCACCAGCACAACCACGCACTACTGCAGATGGATCCACAACACCTGTACCCGTTTTGCAACTGGTAAAAAGTAAAGAGACACATGGGGTACATAAAGAGAGAAAGATAAAAAAGAAGCTTGGTAGACCTCATAAAATAGTTGTGGACACTAGGTGCCAAAGTGTGAACATGACACCTGAAGCAACTTCCTCTATTCCAACAAGCATATTACTTATGGCAGGCACTAGTTCACGAGGAAGGAAGATTGTCCGCAAAGAAGATATGAATTTTGTATCGTAGTAGTAGAGAAGACTATAATTCCAAAATGTTTCATTATGTGTAAATTTTATGGCAATGTAACTTTTGTCAAAAGTATCTTATTATTTGGTCTACAGTGGGCACTAAAAACTTAATATTTTGAAGTGATAAGATTGTTGTGATTGAATTATCAAATTCAGTACCTGTAATTATTTCCATATCTTGTTAATGTATTTTTTAGGTGCATTTTAAATTGCTCCTTGTTTTTGCATTAATGGCTTGAATGGGTAGACTTTGATAGGTTTATTGGCTGCTAAGGGAACATGTTTATAAGGCAGGATGTATAGAATATTAAGATGTACAGTGTATATAACTTATGTATATAATATTAAATACCAAAGAGATTGTAAATAAATATGTGCATGTAACAGCTGATCATTACTGTGATGTAATTATTTAAAGCAGGGTCAGGATTATTTCATAAATTATATGACCCTCAATCGTGCAATAGCATTATTTCTATAATTAAGACTTTTAATTCCTTAACTGTATAGTTATGAATTCCTAACTGGTGTTTGTATCTTTCAAATAAATTTTGAACAAAGTAAACTCAAATGGTCACCCAGTGTCCTTTATGAGGATTAATTTTATGATAGATGTGTTGCCAAGAAGGAAAAGGAGTAAAAAGCTTGCCCAATTTGACTTGGGTGTTTGTGTGGAGTCAGTTGTAAAAACTGTTCTGTTAGTGTGATGGTTCATGTGGCCTAGCACCTGCTTCATGTCATTATACTGGGGGTGTTGAGGAGCTACTGAGCAATTACTTTCTTATATTATCAGACTAAAAGAGGAAAATTAAATAATATTGTTTCCATGCGATTTTGAAAGCTGTACATACCTGTAATGTTGGTATAATTGTGCAGAGAATATTTTGAGCACTATTTGTTGGATATATAATTTTACAACATATAAATATGCAACGTAACAATGAAGTCACCTGATGACTTAATATATGCCACCTGCTTAAAATAGCGTGGTAGGTCGGAAAACAAGAATGGAAAAAAATAGTCATGTACATTACTATTGTTTCCTATTCTTTTAGGGCTTATAATTACTTCAGTGCTCCACTCTCTATTTCTCTGATGTAGTATGAAATCTATTTTGCCAATGTATTATTGTTTTTAATATAATAGATATATTTTGCCCTTGGGAGATTTCTCTCCACCTTTCTATTAGTTGCTTTATTTATTGGAGTAGACTTTAATGTTAAATTACATTCATGTCAAGTACAAAGTGAAATTGAAGCCAATTGTATACCACAGCTTTCATTTAGTAAAAAAAAAATTCTTCAATCTGTTATTTGTTGTGACTATGTTCCAAATTGCAGTCTGGTAAAGCATAAATAATCACTGATGGAGCTATATCAAGTTTCGAATGTTGAGAACATTTTGCCTGTTAAATGCTGGCAAAATAAGAGGTTGAAATTTGGTCACTTTGCATATTTCTATGACAGTCTCCCATTTTTTTCTGAAGAGGTCGAATGATAGCTATTGTCACTAGTCACACCAGCCCTTGGAAGTCCTTAATAGCCTACCAGAGGTCAAAGTGTTACCTCTCCCTTTAGAGGTGCAGGGATTAATGATTTTCACTATATGACCCTGCAGACAGTCCACCCAGGTGCTAGGTCATATACTTCATTGATCCTGTTAATAACTGACCATGGCCAGGTGGCAGCACTACGAGAATGGGAAGAGAAACTATTGTGAGAAAGAACCAAGTCAAGTCCTATGCTTCTGGCATTATTACAACTGTAATTGTAATGCATTATTACAAGACTCAGACATTAGGGTAAAGACAATCCATACAAAGCTATTATTAATGTATTACTGTTTAGCAAATTACAACCCTAATTAGAATCCATGAACTGGATTTCAGTTAAAATGAATATGGTTTTGGGCAGTGGTTTTGGTTGTGGAGACAATACCTTCACCATCCTGCTCTCCTCGTCAACATCCAAACTGTAAAGTTCAGAAAAAATCAAATATTAACTATGTACTTCCTTCTGAAGAAAACATGGTTTAATAAATTTTCACCATAGACTTTCATTAATGTATCCATAGATGACAAATGATGCAAATTCTTGCAAATCTATCAGAAGTATAATATGCCCAGCACACCTCAAAAGTGGGCAGGGCACAAATTTGTCCTATCCCTCCATCTTGTTCTTGGCTGTGCTTTTAAGCAATTGTATTACTATTACAAAGTAAACTAATGTAATGTAAGCAAATTTTTCACCAGACATATCTTCAAATTCCAAAGTTATCAAATTATATCCCCCAAAAATAATCTCTTGATTCTTTTTACTTACACACAGATAAATCCAGCAACATTGGAGGTCAAAAGATCCTCAGGTTCAGTTGCCAGACTGACAGCCAGCATATGGTGTTTCAGCTTTACACCTGTTAAAAAATATTAATAACATGAGCATTATAATTAATATAAAAGGTAAATAACTTGTTGTTGTTATAGATTCAGCTACTTTGAACATGAAGGTCCAAGTAGCACAGGCTATGGTGAGCCCATAGTGGACTTAAGGGTAAATAACTGTGCTGGTAATGCAATACACCCCTGTACTGTAATTGAAAATATCTCTGACCAAGGCAACCAGCCAGTAATGGCATTTGAACACACTGACTTGTGGCTTTGAACCATTTTATTTATTTTTATATTTTGTGCAATCATCGACTGACAAAATACTTGTCTTTTTTTTAAGTTTTTATGCATTATTAATTTTGAACAAACTAAAATTTATAAGAACATAGAATGAAGGTAACTGCAGAAGGCTTATTGACCCATACAAAGCTGCTCCTCTTATATCATGCAGGAGGAACTTCCTGTGTTCAAGACAGTCAAGAGACATGACCCAATGCAATGGGAAGAACTGAACTCAAATAAGGTTGGATCCACAATGGAGGCGGAATCCTGCATACCTCTCGCAGGAGGTATGCAAGCAAGAGCCTCCCGGGGGAAGATACGAGAGGCAGAAAACCTCCGGAAGGACAAGGATGAAGAACTTGAGGAAGCTCGGAACCGAACCTGGGGAGGAGCCGAACTCAAATCATACAGGGAAGGGGGGGGGTGAGAAAACCCCTCCCCCTGCAACAACAAGCCCCATGAAGAGGATACTAACACCCAAGCGGGGTCAAAGAGGGCCCAAGACCCCCAAAGTCGGGATCTGGGGCAGAGCAGTCCTTTATACCCTCCACCCCCTGAAGAAAAGGTAGAGTCCTGGGGAAAGGCTGAAAAAAGGGGGCCTGCTGGTGGGACCCAGAAGCCTTGACAGGAGGAACCGGCTCGAATGCCTCCATCCCCAACCCGACTGGGGCAGCCCCCAAAACTGCCAGAGTCTGATTACCAACTAAACCATGCTCCGACTCCCTCAGACGTTTGGGAGCCAGAAGGAGAGGAGGGGGGGGGGGGAATTGCAGGATGAACAACAGGGAAAGGACTAGGGAGTGCAGACTGAACCAAGGTCGAAGCGACTAATGCCCCCAGGCATTATAGCCACCCCCCCCCCCCCCCGCACTTTGGAGTTCCTATAACCAAAGTGGGGCATCTGGGTGGGAAACCAATCTAGCGCACTGCAGCAACCTAAACCTAGCATGTAACGCAGATGCTGCCTGTACCCTAACAGTAATGTCATCAGAATAGTACCTGAGAACAAGTAGAGAACATGACTCGCGAGACTCCAAATCAAAGGTATCGTTGACTTGGAGGAGGAAAAAATGCCTTCCAGAGGTTTTCTGCCTCATATCTTCCCATAGGAGGTTCGAGAGGCTCTTGCTGCACACCTCCTGCAAGACTTGGATTCCGCCTCCATTATGGATCCATCCTTATTTGAGTTCAGTTCTGCTTCCCATTGCATTAGGGCCTGACAGCTGATTGGACAGCGCTTCGGATTCGTAGCCCTGAGGTCCCGGGTTCGATCCCTGGTGGAGGTGGAAACAAATGGGCAGAGTTCCTTTCACCCTGATGCCCCTGTTACCTAGCAGTAAATAGGAGTTATACAGCTGCTACGGGCTGCTTCCTGGGGGTGTGTAACAAAAAGGAGGCCTGGTCGAGGACCGAGCTGCGGAGACGCTAAGCCCCGAAATCATCTCAAGATAACCTCAAGATAAGAAGATATGATCCAACAGGCAGAATGACAAGCAAAAGAGGTGACTGTCACCTTGAGACAAGGGCACACAGCAACCTTTGAACCCCCACAAGACGGGCTGGAACTTTAAAGACGCATCTACCGAGCCCCAACAGGATTTTCCAGAGTCTGTAGGCTGACTGCTACAGTAAGCCCGGGCAAGGTGTTACTAACCAGTTAAGACCCAAAGCTAACAAGGGGGAGATCAATACACTGAAACCCCTGTGACGTGTACAATCACAGAACTTTAGTAAAGGGCTACCAAAATATTATAAGTGGAATGATAGCCACACCAGGCAAGAAAAACAATAACAGGAACTGGCCACCGAGTAGGTAGGCAGCACAACACTTTGATGCCCCAACCAGCACCATACCACTCCCTACCCAAAGCCAAACAAGGGCATGAAACCCCAGCTGGCCCCAAGGGCAGGGTAAATGCTGAGCAGCAAAAACTCCTACGGAAATGGTTATCCCGAATACACCAGGGAAGGGAGGGGAACCCTAACATGCAAGGACAGTACTCACAGGGCGTCTAGGGAAGGAAGCCCCTAAGCGCATGCAACCCTGACATTGATGAGGAACACCTGGCCATTACACAACAACACTGCAGAGCTCGCCATGAAAACAAAACACCGCCTTGGAAATCGAGGCCAGAGAAGATCTCCGCCCCGGAACACATTATCTAACGAACTGGAGTGCTGGGTAGCCAGTGTAGGGAGGTCTCAGGTTCCTCCCTCACCCTCTTGGGAGGGGAGGGCTGCACGGACGAGTGGCGCAGCAGTGGAGTGTGATGTTTGCTTGTTTCCTTGGGATTAGAGGGAGTTCTACCTCTCTTTTCGGTTTTTAGTTGTAATTTTCTTACAATGTGGGGTTTGTTTTGTTATGCCTACTTTTCTGGGTCCTAACCCTGGTTAATGGCAGACAAAGAATATCCCCAACCACAGAGTGGTTTTCTAGAGGTCATTGCTACCTGTGCCTCTCCGAGGAGACCAGGTTCTGTCTCTTGGTCCCCAGTAGGCTGAACTCCGCTGACTAATGCCCTAGACTAATATATCGCACATCAGTCCGATAGCTCCAGGGGAGCCGAAAGGGCTCTCCACAGAAAAGAATTTATTTCTTCTTCGTTCCTGCTCTCATTTAGACGTTTTGTCTCGACCAGGTTCAGTTTCAGCTTCTCTGTCTTCTTTTGAAAGATCTCGTCCTAATGACCAGAATTTCCCTTCGTCATGACTTTGTAATTTCCTGACATTCCTTAGTACTTTTTCCGTCTGTTTAGCACCATTCAGGGTAATTCTCATGGGTCGATCTTTCCCTTTTTCGTACCAGCCAGTTCTCCTGTAGTCACAGACATTCTCTTTGGCTGTAAGACCTTCAACTAGTCCAACAATTTTATCTACTACTTTCGCTTCTTCTACAGCTCTTGCTGACCTAGATATTATCTCATTTTCTTTGCAACCAAAAATTAATAGGGACTTACTTCGATCGACTGTGTTTTTGCATCAATTTCGGGTTTGATGCCAGTTCCTTTCTGCTCCGGGCTAATGCTTATTTTATTCTGGTTGCTGCAGTTCCTGGCTTCCTTTACTGCTTCTATTTTTTCCTTCTCCCTGGTCACTTGTGCATAGGTGAGTTGCATATCCTTGCACTCTTCTATTCCCTGTGTAACATCCTCCATCTGTAATGACATAAGCTGTTTTTTCTGCTGGATTTCCCTACCTACCCTATTGCAGTCATTTATGTTTAGATTTACTTAAACTTCTTCAAAAGCTATTTTCAAGAGTTTGTCATCTTCTATGGCTTTTCATTTAGTTTCCTATTTATTATTTTCCTTGCACAATTCTTTCACTATCCCTTCAAGATCTGATACTTTGCTACCCAAGTGGTCATTACTTTTTCCTTTACTCTCAATTTACTGATCATTTCTACATGATAATTCACAATAATATCCAATTTTGCTAGCTTGTTGTGTAGACTGCTTATATTATTGCTTTCCTCATTAAATCCACCAAAATCTAGCTGTGTTGTTTTTCTTCTTGCCGGCGGCCATCTTAAATTTTGTCGTCTGCACTGTTACACTAAGGCAATTTTTTCTCATCTAATTATTTCACTTTCCCTGCTACATTTGTTTTATCTCATCTATTTTTCAAATACACTACACCTTTATGATTCTTGGGACACCACTCACAGTCATCAATCTGTTCGACAATACTTAGGAATTTGAAATATCCTGCGGCTCCTCTGATGCAGGTTTTGACTTGGGGGTGGCTGCCTGAAGATTAGTGCTAATGACTTTGCGCTAGCTTTGAGAAATTCGATCGTTTGTTTTCATTGTTTGAGGAGTTTATTTTTCAGTTTCGAGGCTTCGGTCTCGCTGAACCCAGCAATGATCTGTATTGTTTCACTGACATTTGGGATGCCTTCCCAGTGGGGTGGCAGAGTGTCATATGCTCTCTGTGCCTCTTTGAAGGTGCCAAATTCTGCCTCTGGGCCCCAGTAGGCCAAAAAGAATTCCATGGCTTATGTGACCTAGTATTTGAGAACCAACTTGGTGAGATAGCTTTAGGAAGCCAACAGGAAATGAAAATTTATACTAACCTTTTAATGATATACAGTGCAAGGATATGCAAGTATAACAATACATTATTAATGTGACTAATTATCCCCACTGCAAATTCATCAGTTCATAAAAGTTCATGCTGCTAAAAATTGAATGCCAATTCAAATAAGATATTAAATACCTTATCTGGGTACAGAATTTGTATATTACCTGGTTCCACTGGCACAAGTTTAGTCATGTGGTCGTCAACTTTCATGTCTGCCGGCATGCAGGAATCTGGTAACGCTGGTGCACCAATCTTGTATATTGTAAGGTGACTCATTTTCACTTCAAAGCTATGTGGGTGATACTTGGTGTGAAGACCATAGTAATACTCACGGATACGATCATCTCGAGCAGAAGCTCTCATGGGCGGGGTTCTCTCAACAACCTGACAAGGAATAATATACTGTATATATTGGGAAAGAAAACAATGATAACTAAATACACCTTAACAGAAAAACAAATCTGGCACTGAATATAATGATATGCATTCTGGTGGAGCCTGCCCCTCAGTGGTTCTCTGCCGCTTAAAATAGGTGAACAGTTGTAAAGGTTTCAACAGACAGTTATACCTCCCCGCCATCAGATGGCAACTCCAGCAATCTGGGTGGTCAAACCAGCAACAACCATACCATAAGTCACATGAGCAACATAAGAATGAAAAACCAAGGCCCTAAAAAGGGAAGGGCAGTAACTGGGACTCATTAAGCGGCCCACCAGTAAGAGGCCTTTTGTTACACTAACACCGGATTTCTAGGAGGGAACCTTCTATGACTGCCTGAAGTTATCTCACCACAGTAAAAAAGGTGGATCTAGGAGCTCCAAGTTCTACAGCTGCTACAAGAGGGTGAATGACCTAACTACAGGATGGTTTGTTTTCTGCATTTGTTAGATTTACTGTTGCTGCTTGTTTTGTTTTGCTCTACCTTCCTGGTGGCCGACTTCTCTGTAAGGCTGATCAAGGGTCCCATGCACTCGGCGCCCTTGTGAGGGAGGCCAGGCTTTGGCCTCTGGTCTTCAGAAGGCTTCTATTGACTCAAAAGGGCCTGGTGTGACCCAAAAGAAGTGGAGGTTAACCAAAGTGGCTAGCAACAGGGAGGTACCCAGTGGCCTCTCCAGAAAATATCTTTAATGCAGTTGTATAAACAAATAAATACAATACAGTAAAGAAAGTGATAAAAGTTAAAAAAATCTAAGAAGGATGGTAATTTTCCAAGGTGGACATTATCTAGCCTAGACTCTATTCTGTTAGTGTCATTCGTATAGAAATTCCAGAGATGACCAGCCAGCAGGACTTCATACTAGGTATAACAACAGTGAGGACCATGAAGATACTGGTAGGTGTTATTTACAACCCTGCATTAACTACAGGAAGGTCAGAGAGGAATATGATAAATGCATCAAAACATATCTGAAGATAATAGAAAAGTCAGTCACAGTTTTAAGGAGAGCTAAAGCAAAAACCCTAATATTTGGGGATTTTAACCACAGAGAAATAGATTGATCAATAAAGGATCCTCACAGAGAAAATGAAACATAGTGGACAAGAGATGTGGTCACTATAGACAATTTCTGTGGCAGCATATCAAGGAGTAGAGAAAAAGTGGCATTTATGATAAATGGTAAGTTGGAAAAAACAATTTATGGTGATCTACTTGAAAATTAAATGGAGCCATGGAATAGAGATGGACTGGCTGCCCCTCCAATAATACACTGTAATAAGGGTCTAATAATTCAGTAGATTATTTCATTGAATTAAATAGCAATTACTGTCAATAAATTATATATAATTTTTACTTTTAAAAAATAAAAGAATTGGTTAATTAAAAAAGTAAAAATATCTAACCCCTCCACTCTTTGGCAGGAAGACAATTTTGATGAAAGGAATATCTCGGACGAGTTCATTGTACAATCTCTCTTGGTCGAGTACAATAATAACATCAACTTCAAATGCCTGAGCAACATGTGTTAAGCTCTTGTAACCTTCATCTTTGACCCACCCACAAGTGTTGATGACCACACCAGAAGCTGCTACTAAAAAGAAATAATACAAATAATTAGCAATCATAATTTATATAAAATTTGATTAGAATATTAAGCAAAAAATGTCCAAAACTATATGAATAGATATAGGAATGTGTACACTTACATGGTTATGTCAAATTTTAGCCACATATTTCTATTTATATAATACAAGCCTTTCCCCCCTCCCCCCTTCTCACTTAGCTCCTCTTAGACTTAATGAATATTGAATTCCACGAGTCCGGCCCAGGAGCTGAGTGCACGGGCATATTGTCAATATCTCTTTCAAAGTCTTTCGAGTTTGTGTTAATAACCGTTATATTATCTGCAGCTTGAATGTCATTCATAAAGAACCTGAAGAAGAAGCATAAAAAAGTTCTCTATTTTGTGCATTTGCTATTCACAGAGCAGATGCACCAGATATTATCTTCTTTGGAGATTTCAATTAACAAGTCTAAGATGGAGAATGGCAAACACAAATATCATAGCAGGGAACGACCCGGGAAATAACCAACCACAGGTCAGAGAACTTTTGAGATTCTGTGACAAATTCTCACTCAATCAACAGATCATAGAACCAACTAGGAACAAAAACACACTAGACTTGTTATTCACAAACAATGATGAACTAATCAGAGACATTACAATCTCAGATACTACATATTCAGACCATAAGCTCATTGAAGTGCGAACTAGCATAAATAACGGTAGTAGGTCTAAGAGACCCAACAAGCGAGAAGGGATATTCAATCAATTAAATTTCAACAATAAGAGGATCGATTGGGAAAAAAATAAATGTAGACCTTGCAAACATTCAATGGGAAACAGTCTTAAGCAACAAAACTCCCACACAGGGAATAGCTCAACTGACAGCATACAAGGTCTGCTTGAAGCACATGCCTGTGAGGAGGGTCAGAAAGAGGACCACTCTAGAAAGAAAACGCAGAAGACTGTACAGAAGGAAAAAATAACGGAAATGCTTAGGCAGACACGACTATCACAAGAAAGGAAACTACACACGTGCCAGGCTCTCATTAGTGTCCACCCAGGATACTACACACGTGCCAGGCACTCATTAGTGTCCACCCAGGATACTACACTCGTGCCAGGCTCTCATTAGTGTCCACCCAGGATACTACACACATGCCAGGCTCTCATTAGTGTCCACCCAGGATACTACACTCGTGCCAGGCTCTCATTAGTGTCCACCCAGGATACTACACTCGTGCCAGGCTCTCATTAGTGTCCACCCAGGATACTACACACATGCCAGGCTCTCATTAGTGTCCACCCAGGATACTACACTCGTGCCAGGCTCTCATTAGTGTCCACCCAGGATACTACACTCGTGCCAGGCTCTCATTAGTGTCCACCCAGGATACTACACTCGTGCCAGGCTCTCATTAGTGTCCACCCAGGATACTACACTCGTGCCAGGCTCTCATTAGTGTCCACCCAGGATACTACACTCGTGCCAGGCTCTCATTAGTGTCCACCCAGGATACTACACTCGTGCCAGGCTCTCATTAGTGTCCACCCAGGATACTACACTCGTGCCAGGCTCTCATTAGTGTCCACCCAGGATACTACACTCGTGCCAGGCTCTCATTAGTGTCCACCCAGGATACTACACTCGTGCCAGGCTCTCATCAGCATGGGCCCGCAGTGATAAGCAACTTCAGAAAAGCTCTTGCTATTTAGTTAGGGAATGGACAACCATGACAATTGACACTACCTTTGGTAAATGTAAATTGCCTTGTAGAGAAACTGTTGTGGTTCACTTCTTGAATCACTTGTGATATGAAAAGACTACTGATATATACAGTATATGTATTTGTTTATGAGTATAATATATATATATATATATATATGCAACAATGATCACAAAAACACTGATCCAAGTATGCAGAATAACCACATATGAAAAATAGAAAATGCTTAACGCGTTTTCGGCTAATTCGCCTTCATCAGAGCAAAGTAGAATGAGGATAAGATTGCTGATCAGACCTTTATATCCGCCTGGGCAGATCACCTGACCACCAAAAATAAGTGGAGGAAAGGAATTATAAGAAAGAAGGTAACTGCAGAAGGCCTATTGGCCCATACAAGGCAGCTCCTATTAATATCTCCAAGTGCCATACGTGTTTAAATGATTGCTATATTGTTTTGACGTGCTATATTGAGGCTTAAATAGGGATCCAACTTGTACATACCGGGGCTCACATTAAGGCTGTTGTTACAATGTTTGATCAGGGCAGACTCGATCACGTTTCGTTCAACAAAATCCTTACTTTTAACAATACATTTTGCCCCTGTGAAATCGATAGAATGATTACATAAACTGGAATGTAAATACAATGCACTGGATTGCTGGGCTGTACGAATAGCGTATGAATGCTGTTTTAAACGCGAGGAAAGAGTTTTACCTGTCTGGCCGATGTAAACACATGCACACTCATTACAAGGGATGGAATACACACAACCTGCTACAGACGAGGGCGAGTTCTTAATTAACATGGACTTAACTGTATTATCATTTTTGAACACTAGATTAATATTAAGGTTCTTCAGGGCTGGGGCAAGATTTACTAGACCCTCAGAATATGGTAATACCAACGAATTTTTCAGTTAAAAAACTGAAAACTGTGAAAGAACTTTTTAAACTTTTTCAGTGAAAAGAACTGAAAAATTCGTTGGTATTACCATATTCTGAGGGTCTAGTAAATCTTGCCCCAGCCCTGAAGAACCTTAATATTAATCTAGTGTTCAAAAATGATAATACAGTTAAGTCCATGTTAATTAAGAACTCGCCCTCGTCTGTAGCAGGTTGTGTGTATTCCATCCCTTGTAATGAGTGTGCATGTGTTTACATCGGCCAGACAGGTAAAACTCTTTCCTCGCGTTTAAAACAGCATTCATACGCTATTCGTACAGCCCAGCAATCCAGTGCATTGTATTTACATTCCAGTTTATGTAATCATTCTATCGATTTCACAGGGGCAAAATGTATTGTTAAAAGTAAGGATTTTGTTGAACGAAACTAGATCGAGTCTGCCCTGATCAAACATTGTAACAACAGCCTTAATGTGAGCCCCGGTATGTACAAGTTGGATCCCTATTTAAGCCTCAATATAGCACGTCAAAACAATATAGCAATCATTTAAACACGTATGGCACTTGGAGATATTAACAGGAGCTGCCTTGTATGGGCCAATAGGCCTTCTGCAGTTACCTTCTTTCTTATAATTCCTTTCCTCCACTTATTTTTGGTGGTCAGGTGATCTGCCCAGGCGGATATAAAGGTCTGATCAGCAATCTTATCCTCATTCTACTTTGCTCTGATGAAGGCGAATTAGCCGAAAACGCGTTAAGCATTTTCTATTTTTCATATGTGGTTATTCTGCATATATATATATACAGTGTATATATTTTTTTTTTTTTTTTATATATATATATATATTTATATATATATATATATATATATATATATATATATATATATATATATATATATATACACACACATACACATACACATACACACACATACACATATATGTATGTATGTATGTATGTATGTGTTTACTAGTTGTGTTTTTGCGGGGGGTTGAGCTTTGCTCTTTCGGCCCGCCTCTCAACTGTCAATCAACTGTTTACTAACTAATTTTTTTTTTTTTTTCCCCACACCACACACACACACCCCAGGAAGCAGCCCGTGACAGCTGACTAACTCCCAGGTACCTATTTACTGCTAGGTAACAGGGGCACTTAGGGTGAAAGAAACTTTGCCCATTTGTTTCTGCCTCGTGCGGGAATCGAACCCGCGCCACAGAATTACGAGTCCTGCGCGCTATCCACCAGGCTACGAGGCCCCTTATGTATGTATGTATGTATGTATGTGTGCATGTGTACTCTATATAAAATTCAGCCTAAAAGATAGTCACAAAATATGTTACCTTTTCTATTGCCAACCATTTTGTCTTGAACTGTGGCTGCCATCCTGGAAACCAAGATGTTGTATAATGTTAAGTTGGAAAGTGGAGCCAAGTGTCCAAAGTTGTAGACCAAGGGTGCTTCTTGAGAAAACCCTTCACCCACCGAGGCAGCACGCTCTACCAGTAGTGACCCTAAAGCAGAAAATTAAAAATGTATATAATCATTATTATGGTCTATAATCTATAAATTTATTTCCATGGTTTTATAAACATGTTCCTATCATCATTTAACCATCAACATGACTAGACATTCAGGGATTTTTCTTTAAATACAGGTATACTAACAAATTCGACATACTACTAATTGGGTGAGCAGGTACAGATATTACCACTTGTGTGCAGTAAAAAAAAAAAAAACAGCGTTGAATGAAATAAAATGCCATTTTCTGGGTTGAGCCCCAGAGGCTCCCTGAAGACTGATATCCATTATAGATATATAATATGTATGTCTCGAGCATCAGTTAATTGAAGTTTGAGCCTACCGGGAACCACGAGCTAAAACATGGTTCCCTCAGAGAGGCGAAGGGAGCAATAGCTTATGAACACTCCACTTTGTGAGAGTATAGTCATGTCTGCCATCAACCGGGGGTATCACCCAGAAAGGTAGGAGAACTATTACAAACCCCAACTGGTAAAACATTGCAACCCAAGACTGAACAGAGCCCAAGAACTCCCCTCCCCCCACAAGAGGAAACAACAAACAATCAAACATCCACTCAACCAGCGCGTCCATTCATTAACGACCCTCCCCGAGAGGGGCCCCCCCGCCCGGGCGACCAAGCGCTGACACCGGTTTGGAGTTTGGAGTTTTTAAGTTTGGAGACTGAAAACGAAACTGTTGACCAAAGGGAGAGAGGGCTATACTGTATACCCACAGAGAAAAAAAAGGGGGACTTACCCGGGAGGCAGCAGCACCACATGCCTCATGACGAAGACAGGACAACTGGCTGCAACCAATGGTTCAAGGGCAGAGGACCCTGAACATTCACAAGATAATGGGCGGCCAAGACCCAGTTCAACTTTCAAAATACCCATGCCCGAATATCAGCCAAAGACATAGCACCAAAAACCGTAGCAAGAGCCGCAAACTTGCACACATCATGGGCACAAGGGCAGACCACAGGTTGGCTAGTCTTAGAGAACCAATGCTTGTAGAAAGGCCATGCTTGGGGAGTAGAACTCTCAGAACTCCATCAAGCAGGCAAGCCTGCAGATGACCTGAGAAACCCAAACCCCGGAACAGGAAATGAGGGACACCGTATCTACCCATAGCGTGTCCCCGGACACAGCACCCAAGGTGCGCAGACAACGACGGAGAGCCGCAACCGGACACAAAAGATAATGCAACCCCAGCCTGACCAACCAAGCATCAATAACCCACGGACCCCTCCAGAGGCCCGCCGTCTCATTCTTCACCAGCAGTCTCCGTGGTGTAGTGGTAAGACACTCGCCTGGCGTTCCGCGAGCGCTATGTCATGGGTTCGTATCCTGGCCGGGGAGGATTTACTGGGCGCAATTCCTTAACTGTAGCCTCTGTTTAACGCAACAGTAAAATGTGTACTTGGATGAAAAAACAATTCTTCGCGGCAGGGGATCGTATTCCAGGGACCTGCCCGAAACGCTACGTGTACTAGTGGCTGTACAAGAATGTAACAACTCTTGTATATATCTCAAAAAAAAAAAGAAAAAAAAAAAAAAAAAAAAAAAAAAAAAAAAAAAAAGAGACGGCTGCAAACAAACAAAATGACCACCAGAACCAACGGATCAGAAACCTTTGCACTGAAGGAGAGCATGAAGCTCCCCAACCCAACCTCCAGAGGCCAAAGCCAACCAAAAAAAAAAGGTATTTCCGAAGCAATCTTGAACCAAAGGGACCACAAACTGAGGAGGAGAGAGAAAAGGGAGCACCTTATCCAAAGACCAGAATGGCTCAGGTGGCGCATGAACAGGCCGGAGGTAAAAAAGTGCACGAGAGAGCTTGTGGATCGGAGAAGTAGTAACATCCATCATGAAAGCAAGCTGAAGCGGCTCTGCCAGTGCCACACAATAAGAAGCGACAGTATTTGGCATAATATGCCGGTCCTGAAAAAACCAAGAGAGAAAGGACAAAACAACACGATCAGAAATTGATGACAACCTACGAAGAGAAATGAAACGGCGAAAAGAACGCCATGAGCCTTCATACGACATGGTCGAAAGGAGTTGAAACCAAAGTTTTACTGAACTTACTGGATCCTGCAGCCTCTCCGAGGCACAAACCAGGGTTTTACACAACTCCCCCCATGCACTCGAGCTACGTCAATAGGCCGTTCTCCCTCGGAGAGGCTGCAGGATCCAGTAAGTTCAGTAGAACTTCAGTTCCAACTCCTTTTGACCATGTCGTAGCTCAGTCGAATAAGGTAGCGTCTGGGATGCTCTCGGACGCAGGTTCGAAACCTCGTCACGGCCCTTGTGGATTTGTTCACCAGGAAAATGTCTCCTGGTCAAGCACTGTTTACAGTATTTGACTAAATGTTAGCACTATGAATTTATTTCATAAACCTCATTTGGCTGGGACATACGTTGGTATCGAGTGACAGCAATAGCACAATATGACTATATTTAACTAGACTAGGATATAAGTAATTATCAAGTGAAAGAAATAAGCCAGTACTACAGTATATAGGAATAGGCTGGGACATTAAATGCATTACAATTTGCAAGACTTAAGGCTTAAGGTAATAAAAAGAAAATAACATGAATTAGAGAATTATCATTATCAACATTAGACTTGATAATGGTCCAGGACGGACCGAAACATCATCGTTTCTTCATCTTCTGATGTGTGATTTGGTCATCATAACACGAATTAGCCATCTCAGAGTTACTCATGTTCAAATTAAATATACAGTTACAATTAATAGCTTTCTGGGAAAATTCATGGCTACCTTGGGTTAGTTCTGAGAGTAAATGTCCCAGTGGTCTGGTCTCAGACCAAGTTTGCTGGCTTGGTTAATCAGGCAGTTAGAAGCTGTTGCATGTGATGTGATAGAAATCAACTTTTCTGTGATTCAAATGTTACACTGTTTGTTGAGTATTATTAAATTACTTAACAGTGAATGCACCAAGAAAATTTGGTAATTCATTATCAAACTTACCTATAGTACCTGGGATGGCAATAGATCCTTGACCGACATCTAAATCCACAAAGATCGGTCTGCGTCCCATACGTACAGCATAGTTTAGAAGGATGCGACACAGAGTTGATTTTCCTACATCTCCCGGCCCCACAATCATCGTAACAGGCCCTCTAGTGTCTTCTCCACGATTCAATCCTTCATCCGCATGTTTTCGCAATCGCTCTAAACACGCATGTGTATTCAAGTACATAACCTGTCAAATGCAAGTAAACCATAGGTTTCAAGATATAATAAAATATTATTTATTTTTTATTACATTGTCATATATATATAAAAACTAGATGCAACTTTTTACATGTGCATTACTGTACTAACCATTGGAGTTTCTTTTGCAATGTAGGTTCCTTCTGTATTTCCTGTGATCTTTAGAGTACAACCATGCCAAGTGTACACTGCAACTTTAGCACCAGAGAAGAAAGTATAGGGTTTGTCTGGAGCCAACTCTGTTCCAAACACTTCTGCTTTGCCATTCATTAACTGTTGATTCAAAAGTTCAATTAGTATATGTCTGCAATTCTGTATCAACACTAATTTTCTGATGATACTAATGTGGATTTTACTCTATTATTCCAATGATGCATTAATACATTACCCAATCCCAAATACTGGTTACAATACTGTACCATCGAATCATTTTTACTAACCATGTATGAATCATGATGACACATCACACATTCAACATTATTGGTTAATTTTTTAATATACAAGACCATACATTTCACCACTTACAAATCATGCTTCATTTCAAAATTTATGAAATAAGCATTAACTTTACAAGAGCACCAATATTCCATTTAGAGGCATGCCATATGCACAATTAACCCTTACACTGCTCCAATCACTCCTGAGCAATTGATTACAAATTGCCCGGAGGCAATTTGTGCTGCTCATTAATATTTGAAAGTCCCACCAATTGTATGGGGACATCATTCAAAACTACAGTATTGACCTCTGGCAAATGTCTGTCATATTGGAAAAAATACTGAGAGCCTTAGTTTCCTTGCCGAGTCTTAGTTACAAGATGTACATTACCCCCAAGTGGCTGCATGTGCAGTGTAACCATGTTAGGAACCACTGTTACAATGCAAAATTGCAAGAACTTAGATAGCCCTGAAGATCTTAGTGATAAAGAGGAATATATTACAGGGCGTTTCCTTGAATATTATCCCTCAGAATATGAAATAAGCTGCTCAAACAGAAGGGAAGTGAGACTGATGAGTGAGGATTTGTGGGTAGTTACTAACATGATGCTCCATTAATTAACAACACTTACACTTCCGACTTCTCAATTGAGGCACAGTATATTTGCTGCAACAATATCTTATTCTGTTTAAAATGTGTTAATAGTTATCTTGTTGCTAGTTTGATCATGCTAGTGGTGGAAACAAACCCAGCATTGAATGTAATGAAATGTCTCTTTCTGTAGGAGCCCTAGTAATTACCTAAGTAATTACCTAAGTGTAGTTACAGGATGAGAGGTGCGCTCGTGGTGTCCCATCTCCCCAGCACTCTGTCATATAATGCTTTAAAGTTACAGGTGGTTTTGGCCTCCACCACCACCTCGCCTAACTTGTTACAACCGTCTATCACTCTGTTTACAAAAGTGAATTTTCTTATATTTCTCCGGCAGCTTTGTTTCATTAGTTTAAATCTATGACCTCTTGTTCTTGAAGTTCCGGGTCTCAGGAATTCTTCCCTATCAATTTTATCGATTCCTGTTACATACTTGACTACGTATTTTGCACGTAGTGATCATATTGCCTCTTTTTCTTCCGTCTTCTAGTTTTTGCACATTTAATGCCTTTAACCTCTCCTCATAGCTCTTGTCCTTCCGTTCTAGGACCCACTTAGTGGCATGTCTTTGCACTTTTTCCAGTTTGTTGATGTGCTTCTTAAGATATGGGCATCATACAACTGCTGCATATTCCAGCTTTGGTCTAACAAAAGTCGTGAATTTTTTTTTCAGTATTTCTCCATCATGTATTTAAAAGCAATACCTGAAGTTAGAAAGTGTAGCATAGGCTCCTCGCACAATATTCTTAATGTGGTCCTCGATTCAATTTCTTTCTTTATTATGCACCCCATACCCATCCCGTGGGCGGTGGTGTAAAGGATTACAGAGGCACATAATCGGTTCAGGAACTGAACCCTTGTGGTCCTCAGGTGACAGTTTTCTATCTAGAACCACTCCTAGATCCCATTCTTTGATAGAATTCTTTAAAGATTTCTCACATAATTTATTGGTTGTGTGGGGTCTATGTTCTCCAATTCCACATTCCATAACATGGCATCTATTCACATTAAATTTCATTTGCCAAGTGTTGCTCCACATACTTGTTTTGTCAAGGTCTTCTTGAAGGGCATGGCAATCATCTAAGTTTTTTATCTTCCCTATTATCTTAGCATCACCAGCAAAAATGTTCATATAATTCTGTATTCCATCTGGTAGATCGTTTATTTAGACAACGAACATTATTGGTGCAAGAACTGAACCCTGTGGTACTCCACTTGTGACATTCCTCCAGTCCGATACATTGCCTCTGATTACAGCCCTCATTTTTCAGTCAGTTAAGAAAATTTTCATCCGTGTTAGAAGCTTACCTGTCACCCCTCCAATATGTTCCAGTTTTCAGAACAACTTCTTAAGTGAAACTCTGTGAAAAGCCTTTTTTTAGGTCCAAATAGATGTAGTCAATCCAACCATCTCTTTCCTGTAAAATCTCTGTGGCTCGATCATAGAAACTGAGTAAATTCGTTACACAAGATCTTCCAGATCAAAAACCAAACTGTCTGTTTGATATTATATTGTTTTTCTCCAGATGTTCTACCCATTTAGTTTTAATTATGTTTTCCAATATTTTGACTATTACATTTGTCAGTGATACAGGTCTATAATTGAGGGTATCTTCCCTGCTGCCACTTTTGTAGATTGGAACTATGTTAGCCTTTTTTCATACATCAGCTGCAACTCCTGTACACAGGGATGCCTGAAAAATCAGTTGAAGTGGAATGCTGAACTCAGGTGCACATTCTCTCAGAACTCATGGTGAAACCCCATCTGGACCAACTGCTTTGTTCTTACTTAGCTCCTTGAGCATTTTTTTCAGTTCGTCTCTAGACACATTTATGTGCTCTATGTTGTTCTCTGGAATCCTTATTGTGTCTGGTTCCCTGAAGATTTCATTTTGTACAAACACACTTTGGAACTTTTTGTTTAATGTTTCACACATTTCCTTTTCATTTCCAGTGAATTTATCTCCTGTTTTCAACCTCTGAATATTATCCTTTACTGGCAATTTGTTGTTTATGAATTTATAGAATAGATCTGGTTCTGTTTTACATTTGTCCGCAATCCCTTTTTCAAAATTTCTTTCTGCCTCTCTCCTCACTGCCGTGTAGTTGTTTCTCGCACTTTTGTATCTCTGGTATGTTTGGAGGTTTGACCTCTTCCTATATTGATTCCATTTGTGTGTCTCTTGGTCTTTGGCCCTCTCGCAATTTCTGCTTAACCAATCGTGTTTCCTAGTTCTGCATCTCTGCTTTGGTATAATTTTTTTGTGCCTTCATCATATATTTCACAAAACTTGACATACATCTCATTTACTTCATGCCCTAACAGCAAGTCTTTTCAGTCAAATTCCTTAAAGAAATGTCCTTCCTTAACCCTTAAACTGCACAAATCATATATATATGATATCAGTGACAAAACCGAAACCACGCACATCATATATATATGATTTCGTGTTTACCGCTATAATTTCTAGACTACCACTTACTTGTACATGTAAGCCTGATCTTAACTCGAGCATGTGAATTTTGAAAATATTGATGAACCTGAAGGGGGTTGAACCCCTCCTTACATAACAACTGGAGGGAAATATATTGCAGGAAATACAGAATAGACCCTGTCAAAAGTAGCAATGCCATAGGCACAATCGGAGAACACTCCTTTCATCATATAAAAAATATTGCAGGAAGAAAAGTGGACATGTTCAAGAAACAATTAGGCAAGTTCCTGCAAGAAGGCATGGACCAACCAGGTTGTAATGACTTGTGGGCAGTACCAAGTAAAAAGCCTTTTCAATTAAGTTATTGCAAAACAAGCCTACCACCATGACAGGCTTAAAGCAGAACTATCAAAACAGATTCCTGACATAATGCAAAACTAAACTTATAAAATATCCTACCTTCAAGTCAACCGTTTCCTTCTTTCCTTCGACTTCAAACCGGAGTTCACAGTCTGGTTCTAACTTGAATTCTTTTTCAGTTGTTTTTGCCATGGTGTATTGTTAAAACTGAAAAAAAAAAAAAAAAATATATATATATATATATATATATATATATATATATATATATATATATATATATATATATATTTTAAAAAAATATATATATATATATATATATATATATATATATATATATATATATATATATATATATATATATATTTTAAAAAAATATATATATATATATATATATATATATATATATATGCGGAAAATCCACAGAGAAATATGAAATGAGGTGAACGTTTCGGCTTTGTTAAAGCCTTTGTCAACACCAGACTGACTAAGGAGAAGGGAGAAGGCGGAGGATATATAGGCCGACACCTGACCAACCCATCCCTAGGGTTGGTCAGGTGTAATTAACCAAAAACAGGTATAGCTTAGCTTAGAATGGTCAAAGAGGATTAAGCGGTCAGAGAATAAGGATGAAAGATTAAAGAAAAGCCTCATGAACACACAATATATGAATATACAGTTATAATGAGACATTGTAAGCCTCTCTATCAGAGTTGTTTCTTAAACTGTTGTGCAATATTATAACTTAAAAATGGATCAAGTTTGTACATTCCAGTACTAACATTAAGAAGATTTGGACACTGACTGATTAGAGCAGACTCAATCAAATTCCGTTCCACGAAATCACCACAATTGGTAATGCTTTTTGCCCCATTCCAGTTAATATTGTGATCGCATAAACTCGTATGTAGATACAATGCATTAGACGTTTGGGCAGTTCTAATACTATAAGCATGTTGTGACAACCGCAATTGTAAGGACTTTCCTGTTTGTCCAAGGTACACAGAATCACAATCATTGCAGGGAATCGAATACACACAACCTGCTGTATCAGGGGAGTTTTTTATTAAATTGGATTTGATCGTACTATTAGTGAACACCAAATTTATATTAAGTTTCTTAAAAATCAGAGACAATTTTTCAAGTCCACTCGCATAAGGTACCACCAATGAGTTAATAATTTTTGGTTTCGCCTTAGGGACGTGATTATAAATCGTGATTAACTCATTGGTGGTACCTTATGCGAGTGGACTTGAAAAATTGTCTCTGATTTTTAAGAAACTTAATATAAATTTGGTGTTCACTAATAGTACGATCAAATCCAATTTAATAAAAAACTCCCCTGATACAGCAGGTTGTGTGTATTCACCTCATTTCATATTTCTCTGTGGATTTTCCGCATAAAATGATCAGTGTTTTGTGATCGTCAATTGCATGCATGCATGCATGCATGCATATGCATATGCATATATATATATATATATATATATATATATATATATATATATATATATATATATATATATATATATATATATATATATATATATATATATATATATATATATATATATATTGTTACGGTGCCCTCTCCTATTTCTTTCGTTTGCCGGCTTAAAGAGTCATATCAGCTCTCCCTACTGATTCTCTGAGGTTCAGGGAGTCTGATGATATATGTGGCGACCAGGCCGGCTGCCAGTTAAGGGAAAGAAGTTATATTATAAGTTGTAAATAAAGGAAAATTGGCGCCCTGTTATAAAATGAAACAGTATCCCCTACGGCAGATGTGACCTTTTGGAAGGGACATTAGTCGATCGCGGATTGGTCGACGTAGGTCGCGGGCGACAAATCAGGGCCCGCCATGACGTCACCGAGTGCCCCGGGCGGCGCCAACGTCAGAGTTGTACTGACCGTGGAAGCGACAGGACGCGCCTCGGTCTGCTCTCAAGAATTGGAGGCTCTGCAAGCCTTGTCCAGTGGATTGAGCTGACCATCGCCGCCAACATAGTTATTGGAGACCCTGCGCTTCTGGGAAGCCAAAGAGGAACCAAGTTCAGTGAGCAGAGAAGTGCCCAAACTTGGAAAATAGTCGGCGACGACGCTGGGCGACGCCGCTGGCTGGACGTTGAGGTCTGGAGGGTGGGCGAGCAAGCTAGCTGTGACTGGGGTCACATCCACTGAGAATCTTGGAAGGACGACACAGTGCCTAGGACAAGGAGCGACGCCCTGTGGGAGAGGCGAGTGTGGGGAAAGATAGTGATTAGCTCAGCGCCCATCGATGAACCAGGATTGGGGCAGCTGAATCTCAGGGATTGGAACGGCGACGACGCGAAGGCTTCACGACACCTGAGGACCTGTGGAACGCCCTGGATCGTCGAGGATCGACCCAAGGAAGCGTGGGGACCTCACACCATCGAGGGACAGGCGTCGTGAGCCAGGAGTGTAAGGTAGATCATTTTTCCCTCCCATTACCCCTTGTATGAGTAGGCTAGTTAGGCCACAATATTTACTTGTGTATGTGGCAGCAAGACTTTATTACTTTAATAGTAGAATAGGCTGCAAGGCAGCTTGTGTCCAGGACTGTCAGAGAGGACAGTGTGTATGGATGGCAGGACAGTGAAGAAGAGGTGCCGACGTGGTGAAGAGGCCCTCCTGTGAGAGTGTGAGACTCCTGTCTTCCTGCCCAGTCGAAGGAGAGTTGGAGGTCGTGGAAGAAGAGGCTGACGATCTCCAGACTCATCATCCATATTCCATATTCATGTATTACTTGTGATTGCGTGTGTGTGTTCATGTAATTTGCGTCAGTAAATCCACACATTTTATTACTGTGTTTGAGTGTGCCTCCATTTGTGATATTTCTCTATGAGCATACATTTCTGGCTACAAACGATATATGATACACCCACTGAACTGCATTGCTGGGGTGCAGATATAATAACCCAGCTGGCGACCTTGCTAAGAGGAAGATAGAGAAGACAGGCGGGAAAGGAGTTCCTGCAACCTTTTTTTTTGTCTGGCAGGCAAGACTCAGAGAGGCTATGGTTATAGGTAAGCCTGAGTCTTCCTTCACTCCCCCACGGGTCTAGGCCGGAACTGTTAACAGCAGTTTCCCCGTGGTTGACTGAAGGGCTTCCAGGGTGAATCAGTGGCACCCCTTTGTGGTGGAAGCAAAGACCTGCGGAGGTGGGCATTGTTGGTCCTATCTTGTGTGACCAAGGAGACTCCGGTGAATCCAGGGAGTCGGAGGGGCTGAGTATTTGGGCCCTTTGAGCCCCTAGCAGCCGAGTGTTAGCAGAGCCCCGGACCGCCCACCCCCCACGTGACAAGTGAACTGGCGACCTTGCCAGGATCCGAACCCCAGTAGCCAAGGACTGGGAACCTCGCCAAGAAGCGTGGATCAAGCTACAGTGTGGACCAAATTGCAAGACAAGTGTTGCCAGGGTACTAATACAGTGTGGCCAGTGAATTCGGTGGTACTGTTACTCAACCAGCTAAGGGACTGAAACGGTGAAATTAGTGCCTACTAACTTGTCTGTGCTGTCGTGTATGCTCAATGATATAGAGATGGAGGAAGACAAAGTAAAGAAATTTATTGACACAAGGGACGAGAGAATTTTGGAAGAGTGTACCAAGGCCCAGCTCCAACAAGTGGCAAACCACTTTGGGATCAGGTTGAGGACGACTAAGGTAGCGGAGCGAAGGATAGAGATCATGGCACAGCTCACAGCTCGAGAGGAAGCGACGGGAGAGGAGCCATCTCAAGAGGAGCCGTCCCGAGGAGAGCCGTCGCAAGGTGAACCGTCCCGACTAGGGCCCCCCCAAGCGCCTACCAGTGTGGAGAGAATTCACAGTGAACATGGGAGCAGTGGAAGGTCCAGCTGTAGTAAGAGGAGCCTGCAACTGGAAATAATGAAGATGCAACTGGAAGCCCAGCTGCAGCGAGAGGAGCGAGAAGCACGGCTGCAGCTGCAGCGAGAGGAGCGAGAAGCTCGGCTGCAGCGAGAAGAAGGAGAGAGACGACTGCGACTGGAGGAGATAAAGGCAAAGAAAGAAGTCGAATTGCGTCGCGTTGAACGTGGTCTGCCCTCACTACCTGCACGGCGGGATGACCCCAAGGTAAGGGAACGTGACTTACCTACGTTCGAACCACAAGAAGCTGAGGCGTTCTTCGAACACTTTGAACGGATAGCGACTCTGAAGGAGTGGCCGGAAGATGATTGGGCTGCTCTGGTCCAGGGCAGGTTGACTGGTGAGGCCCGGGAAGCCTATAACATGCTGGACCTAGAGGAGTGTACTAGTTATGACGCGATTAAGAATGCGGTTCTCCACTCATTCCGGCTGACTCCGGAGATGTACCGGAAGCGGTTCAGAGAGTGTACAAGAGCGTCGGGAAAGACTTATGCCGAGACCGCCAGGGATATGGAACGGAAATTCCTACGATGGTTGAAGGCGGAGGAAGCGGAGTCGGTGGATGATGTTAAACGACTGATAGTGATGGAGAAGTTCATGTCGGTGCTCCATCCTGAGTTGCGAGTAAGGGTGAGAGAAGCAGGTATTAAGGACCTGAAGGCTGCAGCGGATCGAGCCGACATGCTGGAGGAGGCACTACATATCAGGAGGGAGGGGCCGCCCAGACACTCGCCTTATCCCAGGTCGGGAGGGAACCTTAGGAGTTCAGGAGGAGCGAGGACGGGTGGGGACTCTCCCAAGAGTAGTGTGCCCGATGAAGTAACGTGGTTCAAGAGCTCAAGAGACGCGGGGAGGAAGCCCCAAGCTGTGAGCAGTGGACCTAACTCGGGAGCAAGTGCTGCAGTCCCGGACACGACGACAAGGAGTCCAAGAAGGACCCAGGGGACGTCTGCAAGTGGTACCGCCAGAGTGACTGGCGAGTGGCCGCCCAGGGGAGGTGGCCGATGCTACAACTGTGGTGTGAGAGGACATTATGCCCGCGAGTGTGAGGAGCACCAAAGGAATGTAGGATTAATGTTGGAAGAGGAGAGAGTGTTTGTTCACACCCCATATTATAGTGGACCCAACGTGAATGGTTGGGAAATGAAGTTGGGTGAACATCCCTTCGTTTTCGGGGCCAACGTGAAGTTTGGAAAGTCAGACCCAGTGGAGGTTGCCGTGCTTCGAGATACGGGTGCTGACATAAGTATGGTGACCAGGAGTATTCTCCCCAAGGAATTTAATGATTCACCTGTGGGAGT